ATTAATATATCAAAATGCAAAGTTTGGATTTAAAGATGATATGACATGTATAAAAGGATTCCGAGAAATCAAGAGTAAGCATGGAGAGAATTAGAATCTTGAAGACAATGTTCCATTTTTATTGGTTTCCTTCTGTCTCACACCAGAGGGCTCTTTTGATATGGGACTGGGGAATCTCTTAAACTTTTATTTTAGCAATATGCTTAGGTTTAGAGAAGGAGTGAGCCAATTCCATCTCCAAAGCCAGCTTGGTTTATAATTGAATTGGAACCACCATTTTTCTAGATTGAAAGAGATATAGGTGTTAGGCAGTGAGATTTTACCCTGTGTAGATTGTTACCAATAGATTCTTTCTGCTGTAGACATCTGGATATCCAAGGCCTTATGATTTCTGGAAGATGGGTATTTCCATTATCCTGGAAAGACAAAAACAGAACCCTACCCCACCCCTTGATTGTTAAATTTTTCTAACAACTTGTAGTGGTGTCACATTTGTGGATGAGCTTTTATTTCTCCTCATCAAGGGGTTTCTCCTCTTCAAGTCAAATTTTTATTAATTTTGTTGGTATCCATATCTTTTCTTCTGCAGAAACAAAAGCAAAACCCCTTCCCCAATGTAGGACATATGCAGGTTTCCATTCTGAGGTCAACACATCTTTGAAATAAACTGGTTGGTTTAGCTCAGGAGTTTTGTCTGTCATCCAATGTCTCTCCACAGCTGTTGTTCCTTTCTTATCAGCATTGAGAAAATTCAGTTAATAAAGCACTATGCAATCTAACTCTAGGAATCATTGTTACCTGTAGCTGTTTCTTTAGCATATCCTTTATAGTTTGATTGGATCTTTCTATGACTGCCTGGCCTGTGAGATTATGTGGTATACCTGTAACATGCTTTATATTGTAATAAAAAAAAAACTGTCTCATTTTATTGGAGACGTGTTCCCATGATGGTCATAACTTCTAATAGGTGTGTAATCACAGAATCAGCCTTTTCATTACTCATAGGAGTTGCCCACTGAAATTCTGAATAGGTGTCAATGGTATGGTGAACATATTTTAATCTTCCAAATTCTGCAAAATGAAACACATCCATCTGCTTGTGGATCCCTATGTGATCTCTCACATGTTCCTACTGCCATGCCGTTGCTTAGCCATCATGAAATCTAGCCACTCAAAATTCTAAACCCAATTAAAGGCATTTTTTTAAATTGTCTTTGTCATGGTGTTTCATCTCAGCAATAGAAAAGTTACTAAGACAACAAGATTACTCATGGGAATAGGAATTTGAACATGATATACAACCAAGACTTCAGAAGTGAATATAGAAGGGGAGATTCACAGCAACATGGTTCTAGTTTCTTGTTGCATGTTTGATCAGAAAGCACGCCCCTGTGGATTCAGAATTTACAGGCTTTTTTTCTGTCTGAGTGAAAGCATTTCTTGTATATTTCAAAAAGAGGTGATTTACAGAATAGGGTAAACAAGTGTTGACAATTTTGTTGATTGGTTTCAGTGTTATTGAGTCAGTCTTGCTGTTGCTAGCTCAGACTTCTCTAGAACATACTACACATCTCAGGCTGGCCTTGAAGTTGCAATCTTCCCTCCTCAGCTTCCCAAGTAGAGAAGCATATGGACAGAGATCCTCTTTATGAGGGAGGCCGCTAAGCCAGGAATCAATACAGGCTATTGCTAGTTTTCATGATTGCCCATCATAAATAGGACATAAATCCCTATTACTAAAGACATAATTTCAGCTGAAATTCTCCATCTGGCTGGCATGCTTTCATAGTTCTGGACAGAGTTCTTCAAACTCCTGGTGAAGAAAAATAGCAATCAAGATTGCTCAGCTGTGGAATTTATAACTGACAATAATGGCAATCTGTATGGCAGGATGCCTACTCATACAACAATCCTTATTATGGGACTAAACTACAACTTTCTCCTTAGATCTGTGACCCACTCTCTGGCAAATCCTACTATCTGTTATTGCAAAGCTAGCCAAGTGTCCACAGCTTGGAAGATCATATACCCTATGAGATAACTTAAAAATGGTATTATTCTGTAGAGGCATGGTGTCAAATTGGCTTCTACATGGTTACATTTATATCTATACATTTGTTATGATGTCAGCATTTACCATAGAAATTCTTTTTTTGTAAGTGGGTGATGCTTTAAATAGAACCTCAGAGCTTTTCAAAACGTGAAGTGTAACTGTGGAGTACTCCCACTTATCCTCAAGGAGATATTGGTATCATCTCCATCAGGCTCAAGGAATGTCTCACAACAGGATGTAGAAAGAACATAAGAGCCAAAAAACAGCAAGGAGTGCTATGAAACAGTATTTTCTAGACTTGATCATTGTTCTACACTCATGAAATCACTGCCATAGTTACCAGTGCAAGATCTGGAGAGGATTGTGTGCATCATCAGCTCAACTTTCATGGAGGAGATCCTAACTCTTCACTTTTGACTGACAGACCATTAGCAGTTAATGGTTGCTGGGAAAGGGTATCACATTATCTTTAGCCTTTGAGTCATTGTAAAGCTTAGTGTTCCAGTAAATAACTCCCAACTCATTCATATGAACAAACAAAATTAAAGTCATTGAGCCAAAGAAAAGAAAAGCATTATGGTTGGTGGGGAGTATAGAGAATAGAGTTTCAATGAGAGAGGAAAGATGATAATGGGGATAATATTAAAATTAATCATTATTTCCCTTTTTAAATTGACAGAGAATTAAATAAATAAAAAATGAACATCATAGGCAGTATATGGTACACCATTAAATGAATACATACACATAGACTTTCTAGAAAGAGGAGAAAAAGATGAACAACTAGAAAACATGCTTAATGAAATTCTATCTGAATATACAAGTCCTGGAAGCTCAAAAGCAATCAAATAAGTTCAATGGAAAACACATATCTAAAATATCAAATCCCAGAAAGAAAAAAATTAAGACATGAAAAAACATATATAAATATATACATTTTTTATTTATACATATACATATAAATATAAATATTTATATATGGGGCAAAGAGAATCTTATTAAACTGAAATCAATTTCTTTTTTAATTAATTAATTAATTTATTTTATTTTACAATACTATTCAGTTCTACATAACAGCTTGTTCTCCCCCTTCCTGCCCCCTCCCCTGCCCCCCAGAACACCCCCCATTCCCACCACCTCCAGATCAAGGCCACCCCCAAGGACTGAGATAGACCTGATAGACTCAGTCCAGGCAGGTCCATTCCCCTCCTCCCAGATTGAGCCAAGAGTCCCTGTATAAGTCCCAGGTTTCAAACAGCTATCTCATGCAGCAAGCCCAGGACCTGGTACCACTGCCTAGATGCCACCCAAACAGCTACAGCCAATCAACTGTCTCACCTATTCAGAGGGCCTGATCCAGTTGGGGGCCCCTCAGCCTTTGGTTCATAGTTCATGTGTTTCCATTCGTTTGGCTATTTGTCCCTGTGCTTTTATCCAACCTTGGCTTCAACAATTCTCGCTCATATAAACCCTCCTCTTTCTCACTAATTAGACTCCCAGCGCTCCACCCGTGGCCTAGCCTTGGATGTCTGCATCCAGATTCCTCAGTCCTTGGATGGGGTTTCTGGCACAACTATTAGGGTGTTTGGCCATCCCATCACCAGAATAGGTCAGTCCCGGCTCTCTCTCGACCATTGCCAGCAGTCTTTTGTGGGGGTCTTAATAAAGAGATAACAGTAAGAGAAAATTGGATAATACAGGCAAAGTTCTAGCAAGAAACAACATCAAAATGTTCCCTTCAATATAAAATGTCCAGAAAACTTTAGAAGTGAAGGAAAAGTAACCACACTCTGCAATCAAAAGAAAGGTAATTTAATTAAAATATGTATGTGTTAAATTCACTAAATTCAAAAAGTGAAGGAGAAAAAAATTATTCCCAACACATAAAAACACCAAACTATAAATAATTGGAACATGGAAAAAATATTCAAAACAACCAGAAAACACTAGCATAAATAAGTTCTTACACATCAATAACAGTGCATATAATTGGAAGAAATCATGCACTCAAATAGTAATAACATCTGGATGGAGAAAACAGAACAGTTTGTCAGAAAAGAAATGTTTCATAAGTAAAACATAGCCTGAAGCTCAGTGAACATACTTTGAATGAATAGAAAACAAAATTGAGTACGGTATGCAATATTTACATTAATAAAATGGATTGTTCTTCTTGCTGCCTACAAATCTGTATATAGAATTCTCAGCTACTTGTCCAGCCCATGTCGGCCTGTATGCCAGCACTCTTTTTGCCCTAACAATGAACTAAACCTCTGAAACTCTGAACAAACGCTGTTTGAATGCCTTTTTGGTTTTTTTTGTTTTTTGTTTTTTGTTTTTTTTTTTTTT